AGGCAGAAGGGCGATGATGCTGGAATGTTTGTCGAGCATTCCACTCTTAATTTTGGCACATTATGTCCTCCACCAGAGTAAAGCCTCACATTTTGTGCTACCATCTGAATCATGCACACTGGGTTCTCATTTCCCCAATTCACTTATTTATGAACCCATTTGTCAGCGGAAATTGCGGGCAATTTTTTTTTTTTCTCTTTTTTTTTTTTGGAGAACCATACAAACTCATTTATAGCTTAAAACCGAAGGAACAGGGGCCCGGAAACCCCACAACAATCCCAAGAAAGAACTGGGGCCATTACTTAGCTTAGGGTCCTGGAAACAGGGTCCAGTGTCCCTTTGAACAAAAGCACAGCTCCCCACATGAAAAAAAAAGGGGTACAACCAAGCTCCTTGTCAACGACGTTCTCCCATGAATCTCCTGCCTGCAGAAATCTTAAAGTAGACTCTAGGGGGGGGAGCTAAAACACCCCCCGTGCCCCAATGGGGACAACAACCACTGACAAAATTGCACTCTACCAACTGTGCCTAGTTTAACCAATCTCGAGTTTTTTCCCCATGTGTCCCATAACCACTTCCTAGACTTAGGTGAGCTTGGAACCTTACGCCAAATGCAATCACTCTGAATATTGCGTCTAATCTGCTGGGTCACGGAAACTTTGAAGTGCTGGTCTGATTTCCCTTTCGATCTGAATAACAGATTGTTTCGGTCATCCCATGTTAATTTCATCAAAATGGCTCTAATGGTTTGTGCCACGTATAGCCATTCCTGCTCGGCTTTAACTTCTCTGCGGTGAGTGCCAGATAGTATCCAATCGTCAGAGCATTGGAAGGACTCATTTGTGGCCCCTTTCCAGTGTTTAATCCACCAATCCCAAAGTCTTCTAGATGCAGGACAGGTCAGCCAGAGGTGCCTGTTGTTTTCCCAAGGCCACCTACAGCGGATGCACATTGTTGAGAATCTTGAGATTATCATTCCCTTGGAGGCTAAGTTTACTGCCAAGGCAGTAGCCAGATATGTCTGCAGCCACGCGACACTTGCCAGCCTCTGAGAAGTCATCGACTTGAATTGACTCCATAATGAAGTGAGTTGCTCTTCTGTAATGCTCAGCATGCCTGCATCTTGCTGCCTCTTGGCAACTGTCTGAGAAGGAGACTTACTTACCTTAGATCTCAGAATAGAGACCCCCAGCTTGGTGGAGTATTCATCCAGTGATGATCTTCTTGCATTTGGGGTGTTGATCCATCCCACCGATCTGATGTTCACTGCTGCCTGATCCAGCGGTATGAGCTCCATTGGCAAGGTAGCTCTCCAACTAGTCCCTCTGGCCCCTTGCTCCTTTTGGAGATGAAGTTTCACTACCAGTTCCTGATACTGCTTCTTTTTTTTTTTTTTTTTTTTTTTTTTTAAACATGCCCCCGCCAGTGTTAGTGGCGCTGATAAGAGCAAACACCACTAGCACCTGGGGAGAGGCTCCATCTATTGGTGGGGAGCATCACCTGCTGGAAAACGGGTCCAGCGTCCCATGTACAGACTGAATTTGGAGTACATCGCGAAAAAAAAAACAGTTGTGGGGGGGTTCCTGCCAGCATTGATTACCCTGGGGTCCAGGGGATTGACTGAGCAGGATATTGGAAGGAAGGAGGAACCTCCTCACCCTGAATCCGGCGCCAGATACCTACTGCTACACACTAGATCCTCCCTCCCCCTACCAGCCCCCCATCCTCTCTTGCTCAGAGTGCTCAGACTGCCAGCATTGACTGGCCCGATCCGTAGAAGGGGGGGTTATGGATATTTGTAGAAGAAAAACCTCCCCGGGGGACTCCAGCGAGGAGATCCTTGTATGAGTATGAGTGTGTAGAAGACAGGGTTACAGGATTTCATCATTCAGGACAGGATCTCTGCCAGGGAAAGGGCATGGGGTGGGAAAGGGTCTGGAAAATCCGAGGGGGGGTGAAGCGGGAATGAGGGTTCTATGTTTGTCCAGTCTTTGAAGCTTAGGCGGTAGTCTCTCATTTCTTCCAAATCCCTCTGTCCCTCTCCCCTGCCTCCGCTCCATTCTACTCTTGCAATCCATCCTTCTCTCTCCCTTCCCACCCAGTCTGTGCGAAATGTTGTGATCCATCTCCTAACATCTCCTACTTGTTTACAGAGGTCTAACTGTGCTTTTGTGACTAGCCATCTTTGTGTGAGTTCAAAATGTACCTGCTGCTGAATCTGTTCGGTGATTTCTGGCTCTTCTACTCTCACCTTTTCCATGGTCGGCGTGCATCTCTGCCACCAAAGTGCCCATATCACCGCTCTCCTTCCAAGTCTGTACATATTCTCTACGAAGGCCATGGCTGCTTCTGCCTGTGGCCAATGGCGTGCCAAGACCAGGGTCAAGGGATTGCAGATTCCATCTTTCTCCATATGCGATCCCACCATCTCCATATAAATTGGGCGATCGGGCATTGCATGAAGATGTGTTCGATGGTTTTCGCCTTCTTGTAGAACGGGAAAAGGCTCTAGCACCGGTGACACCACGGAAGCAGCAGACCTTTTTGCTCTAAATTAGTACGGTCAGTCAGCCAGTCATTGGTTGGCAAACAGCGGTGGGCAATTTGCCACTGTAGGGATGTGATTTTTATGGGTTTTGCTTTCTGTTCTTGGAACCATTTAATTGTAGATAGAAGGGAGCGATCCACGTTTAGGTGTCTGGCCCATCGGTCGTTTACTGTGTTTCTCAGCTGTCTTTTGGGTCTGAGCATTTTATAGGTCGATTTGACCGACAACTGGTGTAGGCTGATGTGACCTACTTTGGGACCTCCCCTCTTTTGGGAGGGTTCCCATGTCCATTCTGCTGGGTCCATGGCCAGATCCTGGATTGGTTTGAAGGGTTGGAACACCACCCTCTATCCTTTCTCTTCTAGAACTCTCACTCGGTACACAAATGTTTTCTCTTTCCATTCAAAAGGGGCTCTGCTACCTTGGAAGGTGTCTGCTCTAGTGATTGTGTAGTGTTCAACTAGGACAATCTAGGGTGAGACCATAAGTATCTGACCTAGCCTTTGTGGAGACTCCGTGCTTGCTACTCAGTTGCCTTCTTTTAAGGAGAGGCCTCGTTTAAGGATTTGGTACTATGCCAGCGGGATAGCTTCAATCAGGTTATCCAAATGCTCCTCTACGTGGTGGCGGTATCGTAGGATTCCTCGCATATGGTCTCCTGTTTTCCAGTCCCTTCTGTCATTGTCCCAGAGATCCCCAACCCTGAGCACCCCTCTCTTTACCCAGCTTTTCCAAGGCAAAAATGAGCTTATCATGACACAACCACTCAAATTTGTCACCCATCGATTTCCAAAAAGAGGTTGCCGATAAACTTCCTCCCAGCGGTCAGGGTAGATTCTGGCTAGGAGCGGAATCTGCGCCAGGTTTCCAACAAGGATGGCCAGAAGTTGTCCGAAATCTGGTCGCCTCCGTACAACCCCTCCCTTCCTCGGGGGAACTTGCGTGGGATTGTCTAGAATCGGTCCTCCAGCCATATCAGCGGATGGGTTGTGTTGGGGGGGGGCTTCTGGGGCTAGTCGGGCCAGATGTTCCAGAGCCAATGCACACCATGTACACTGGGGGACGAAAATGAGCTTTTTGATCCATCTTAGTCGTAGTGTTTGCACTTGCGTGGCTGGGTTAATTATTCCCAAGCCTCCCCCCAACTTAGGTTGGATAATTGACTCCCACGCCACACGGCTGATCACGTTGTTCTGCTCGTCGTCCCCCCTCCATAGGAAGGCTGGTGCCTTTCTCTTTAAGCTTCTTAGGGTTGTTTTGCTTAGTGACCACAGTAGCAATTTGTACCATAATGTTGTTAAGACCACGCTGTTAATTACTAAGGCGCGGCCAAAGAGGGATGTGTACTTATTTCTCCAGTGATTTAATTTTTGTTGTGCCGGGGCGCTAATCCAATCGTCGTTGGTTGGTGGGCGTCCCTCCGTGGTCATGGATACCCCTAGAATTCTTATTGGGGCATCTAATGGCATCCATTTAATACGGGGTGACTCAGGGGGGCGTCCCCCTTGATAGTGAATCCACCATCCTTAAGTTTTGCTCCCCCAGTTGACTGTCATGTCGGAAACCTTGACAAACTTTTCCATCATTTGCTGAATTTCCTCCATGTTGTTGTGTGTGGCCTCTGCCAACATAGTGAGATCATCCGCAAAGAGGGAGCACACCGGGACTGCCTCCTCCGGGATGTATGTGACGGATTCTGGTAATGTTCTTGTTTGTCCGGAGGTTGACAGTTAGTGCTTCCATGATGACCAAAATTAGGAAGGGGGCAATTGGGTCCCCTTAGCGGACCGAGTATTCCAGGCGTAAGGGTGGTGCTATGCATCCATTGACTTGGATGCAGGTGGTTGCATTCTGGTGCAGGATCTGAACCCAACGTTTGAAGTCTAGCCCAAAATTTATTTTTTCCAGACATTTATCTAAGAACAGCCAGTCCACATGGTCGTAGATCTTTCCGAAGTCGATAACGACCAACGCTACGTTCTGACGGGAATGTCTCGTGAGTTGGAGTACCTCATGGATTAACATAATGTTCTCTTGTATGTTCTTGTTTTTCATAAAGCTTGAGAGGGATGAATAATGTCTTCCATTATAGGGATCATTCTGTTAGTTAGGGCTTTAGACAACATTTTGTATAAAGTTTGATACTGCTTCATCGAAGTAAGTCTGATTTGTCCTGGTACTGGAGTCAACTCTTTGGAAAAAGAGTAGGTTTCTACGACCTTCCATTCTGAGGCAACCCAACCATCCTCCCCTAAGTTATTCGTTACCTGATATACAACTTTGCTTGGGGAGGATCTCGACTTGCACCATAACCCTGAGGTTGGGAAAATACTACCCTTCAACAGACACACCCATGAGGTAGGGATAAATCGCGTTAGGTGATCTAATCTTTCTGGGACCTTCCTCAGCCTATGCAGCTTCCTTTTCATTACGACCGATTGTTCCCACTCTCCCTGTTCCACATTCCACAGATCCCTCACCCGTACCACTGCCCTCTCGACCCAAGCTTTCCCAAATCAACCAGGGAAGTCATGGGCCGAAAACTCCAACCCTCGAGAATCCGCTATCAACGGATTTTCAAACAAAATTTGATTTAATACTATGTCTCTTGAGGTCGGTCGGTCTCTTTCCGTAGGAAAAACGTTGCACCAGGCAAAGAGAATGCTCTTCCACAGCTTAGATTTTGGTTGCTTGTGAATGTAAGATTTCATTAGGAGACAGGCAAGAACCCCCTCATCCTTACCTAGCTAGCCCCCATTCCTCCCTCACGATATAGATAGCAGACTAAGCCAAGGTGTATCCAACTCTGAGGTGAGTGTTTCGATTGGGCATTTTGCCAGTAAGGCCGAATTTTGTGGTTGGGGTTCCAGAATCCCCAGCGCGTCATCTAACCCAAAGAAAATAGATCGTTTCCCAAACAATATTAGAAATGCAACCTTCTTCTACCTTCCCTTCTGACTCCCATAAGACCCGAGCTGCTGCTCTCTTTATTCTTTTATAGCAGCCCTCGCCAAGCAGGTGTACCGCCAAGACAAACCAAAGAACCGAGAAGGCAGCCGCAGAGATAACCAGTGCCTTCCCCAGCAGGGATAAATGCCGCAGATTAGCCATGGATAACAATCTGTTAACCACTTTTTATTCCAACAAGGAATCCTGATAGCCCGCACTATCTGATAGCGATACTTGCACTCCCAAGAAACGGTGTCGAGCGCATCGGTCCCGCACCGGGACCCTCCCGGCCGCGTCACGCAGGATTTTGCAGGACTTTGTCGCAGAGCGTTTTGACCGCTCCGGCCGAGTGCGCCAGCCGTACCTTTCGCGAGCCCCTATGACAGGACAGGGTCACGCGAGGCACCGCTTACCTCCACCTGCGGGAGTTGTCACCATCCCTTGGGTGGGCGTATCCCTATCGAGCTACTGAACCACATGCGAAAGCTTTTCGTATGCAATTGCAGAGGTGGCCCAACCGAGGGCGTTTCTCGTTTGCTGTAGCATAAGGGGTTACGCGCGGTTGAACGCCTGAAAATCGAACCCGCACGCGAATCGACGTACTGGGGGGCTGAGGTCCCAAACGCGACTCGGCGCCGGTCGACTAGGACGCATCACACACACCACGCGTTACACCATAACACTCACATCTACCCACACATAACACATGGAAAAAAAAAGAAAACAAACACAACATCACAACATTCCTAGTCCCTTCAGTATCCGACCCATAACTTCATGCTGCTAGAATAAGGTAGGTGCCGCGCGCTGAACTTTTGTATAAGAGTCGTGCGCGCGCATGACCTCCTCATATCGACCAGCCATGTGTACATTCACAAGCATTTGCGCTGATGGAGTACTATGTGGTACTCGTAGCCTTGCG